GGAGGCCGGGGGTGGGAAGGGGGGCACTGCCGCTGCCTGTGCCCTGCGGAAGTGCGAGCGCCGGTGCGGGCTACACGGGGCTTGTTTAGTGCCCCTCCTGCTTAGAGGTGGGGACGTCGCCCTGTTGGCACCGTCTGGAGAGAGCGGGTGGTGCTGACTCGAGGGGAGCGACACCGGGGTCACACACGGCCAGGGCGTCGGGTGCTTACTCTGCGAAAGCACCCACGGGCGAACAAGGGTTCCTTTTCCACTGAGGTGACCCGATGTGTTAATAGTACGTCAACTATGGAACACCTACCAACATAAGCAAATAAAACGGCTGAAGTGTCTGTATCTGGTGTAGCTTTCGTAAACACCAAGGCAAATCCAAAGGCAACACTGAAGACTTTTAAGTTCGCGCATTAAATTAACGCTCCTGCTGTGTCTGTGCTGCTTGTGTGCCACATTCCAATAGAGGTTCGATGCCACTGCTGGTTGAAGCAGTCACAATTCAAAATGCATTTTGATGTGACTTGGTACACTTGGAGTTGGTGATGTCTAATAGTTGCAGAAAATTGCTGTTCATGATGGCCATTGTTACTGCCAGAACTTACAGCAAAGGCTAATATAGTGCATTGGTTAGGCTAAGAGTATGTTAAGCTATTGCAAAAGTAAGGGATAGATAGCAGTTAAAATACATGGAACACCTTGAAGTGTGGGGCATGGAAACCCCTTAGTGTAGAGGGTAAAGTAGGCTTGAAAAAAATCTAAAAAATTAATGTATATATCTATATATCAGTAAACTATGGAAGCATCTGGATTTCAGAATGGTGGCAGAATGGTGGACTAGAATGGTGGACTAGAAAGGACACATGCAGGATTGTGTTGGGCTTAAAAGCACGCTTAGTAGCTGCTGGCTCACAGCTTGAATGTGACTAATCAATGAAAAGTTCAGGTTTTTTTGGTAGCTCATCTTTCTTCTTTTTCTCTTAACGCAAGTGGATGAAGCCCTCTACATGAGCTGGTTTCTGTTACCAGAACAGCAAAACTGGATGCATTGTTTTACACAGTATGTCTGCCTCTGTATTAGATTAGAGGAGTAAAAGTATTATGAGAAGAAAATTAATCTGACCTTGCTGTAGTATGGAGAGTGGTGAACTTTCATTTTCTGAACAGTACATGCAGTTTGTCATAATTAATTATGCTGTCCAGGGACTAAAATATTAGGAGTGTAAATGTTGACAAAGTTTACCTGCTAAGAAGATCTAAAACTAACTTTATAGTTGTTTGGTTTTTTTTCCCCTGATTCTGTACAGCACATTTTTTCCTAAAAAGTTTGCTTTTGCCATCTTAAAAAAAACCAAAAAACAAACAGTTAGCATATGTGCTGCATAAATGACTATAACTGCCTTTGTCCTTGATTTGTACTTGAACTCATATTTCTAAAGGTGATGCTTTTTATTATCTGTATCACCTGCTCTGTCTAAATTATTAGTGATTGTCCATTCTTAAAGTGTTCAGATCCAGTTTGATTCTTCTTTAGTTTCTACTGCAAGGGTTTTGATTTTTTTGGGCAGAATGAGAAGAATAGCAAAATAAAAGTGAAGGTATGTGTGTATACAAACAAAAACATCTACATGTATAAAAATAAAAATATTAGTATATATAGCTCTTCACTTTTATACCCATGCACATACTATAGTATGAAGAAAAAAGCAGGGTAAAGGTCACGGCTTGGAAATTCTATTCCTTGTATATTGGAAGTGTCTGTTCCCTTTTCCTTCACATCATGGCTGTATATGTTTCTTTGTGTTCCTGATTGTATGTAAGCATATCTCATATAAACCACTGTAAAGTAACAGTCTCCTAGATTAGATCTGTGGAAGTTTACAGTAGAAGGCATTTTTCATGTATTTTAGGGATAGGTAGGCTAGAATTTGAAGAACCTTTTCAGATGTATTTGTCAGGCCACCAAATCTAGTGGGAATTAGTATGTTTTTTTTAAAAAAAAAGAAGAGAGGGGTTATAATTTGTCCAAATGAGGCATGACTTTGCCAAATCTTTTGGAATATATTTGATAGGCTAACAATTGTAATGATAAACCAGTGTGTTGAAGAAGGAAACAAAACAAGATTAGGAGTTTGTGGTTCAGAAGTTCCCAAGGTTTGATTTAACTGCAACTCCTCTACAAGTTTTTGGGGTGGTTTTTTTTTTGTTTTTTGTTTGTTTGTGTTGTTGTTGTTTTGGTTTTTTGTTGTTGATTTTTGGGATTTGTTGGTTTTGTTTTGGGTTTTTTTTGTTCTTTTTAAATGGCTCTTTTAAGAACAAGATAGTGAGTCATGCTTTTGAAACTGCTTGTAAATAAAATCAATTTGCAATATTGTATCAGTTCTATATGTCCATTCAATAATGGAAACATAAGATCATACTGGTTTGGACACTGGGAGATTTCCATTCTGCTGTTCTAATAATCACAGTGTATCTTTTTCCATTATGTTTTCTGATTAATCCTATAAATACATGTTGTTTTATTATTTTATTTTAATTTTTTTATTGTGCTTTTGCTATATTCAGTTAGTCTCTATTCAAAGGCTTTCAATTAATTCTTTTGGTAGTCTTACACTGAAAAGTTTCTTACTCCAGATTGTACTTCATTTTGCTGTAGGTTCAAGATGCTGGGCAGGAGATGGTGGCATCTTCTGGCACACCAGGATCAGGGAAATCAAAGGTAATCAGTCCCCACAAACCTAATTCATTTGGATATCAGTAGTTGCAAGGGTTACAGCTTAGCATGCAAGCTGTGACTAATAGGAAGACAAAGATATTTTTAACATTTCTTCTAGACAGGAAAAATTATTTTGTAAACATTAAGATGAAGTGTTTTGGAAACCATGAGGAAAAAGATAGCTCTTTTTGGTATGTTTGCTTCCTGTTATATTTTATAAATCATTAATAGCATGCAGTTTTGGCAGCAGTCTGTTTCATAATGGACACAGACATCTTTGCATACGTTGGAAGTAAATTTAAACACTGACAATGTTAGGGCAGCATGCTGTTTTCAAAATATTGTTCAAATTGTAGTACTGAATTGTAATCCTTCCTAACTGAGTTTTCCTAACTGATGCTGCCCAATTGTGTGCTCCAGAATTGTTTCAGAAAAGTACAGAATGAGGAGTAGTTTATCTTACTGTAATTGAAATAACAGAATTGGATAACAGAACATCAGTAACTTGGACATTATTCTTCTTTGAAATGTTATTCTTGTTGAAAATGAATGTAAGAGTTTCTTGTCCTAAAATTCAGCTTCTTGGAAGTCAGATGCTAAAATGTCTTGTTTCTATTTCCCTCTGGGTTAGAGAAAGCTGGTTTCTCTGATACATACTTTCTTTACAGCTGGACACATTGCCCAAAGAGGACCTCATCAAGTTTGCAAAAAAGCAAATGATGCTTATACAGAAAGTGAAGTCAAGATGTGCAGGTATCTGACTGGAAAGTGCAATTTCTGCCTTAATGCTTGGCACTACCTGACCTTTTCAAATATCACTGTGTGTTTTTGATAGGTAGGTTTAGACTCTGGGCAAAAATACTAGATTTTATTTTTCTTCAATTTTGCTATTTATGGTGAGAGGATAAGGACTGAAGTAACTTGATTAAGAAAGACAAGAAAAGAAGCATTGCTTTTGTCTGGTATTAAATTAATTTTGGTCTGACAGTATGGCATGATGGAACAGTGTAGCTTGTGTAAAAGTTGAAGAGAGATTTGTCGTTGTCTATTCCCCATACTGGTGCAGGTTGTTTTTCAGGAAGCAAACAGGAGGAAGAATGCATAAGTAGTATAATTTGTTGTAGAGTACAATGGCTTCTTTAAGATAGTTTGCTACTTTATGTTTAATCATTTGTTGCTTTAGCAAGAAGTTGTAAAATACAGCAAACAAAATTTTACGCTTAACACCTAAAAGTATGTGTAAATTTGTGCTCTCGTGCTGTCCTTCTCCACTCTGCTGTCCTTTTTCCTCCAGTGGCCCACTACTTGGACTGGTGTCACTTCCCCTTGTTTGAAACAATAAGGATACAGAGATGAGCTATACCAGCCTTTTCCTCAGTGTGTTTATTCATAAGATTGTGTTCTTATGATTGCTGCCTATTTTTAGAGAAATAGTAGAAACTGACTATCTTTCCTCTGATTTAAATTGACCATTGAAAAGAAGGTAAGATCATCATCAGAAGAATTTCTATCTGTTGCCCCTCTATCCAAGCAAGGAAGTTTTGATTCCTCAGGAAACCATGCTTGGTGTCAGGACTGGAGAAGTATTGCTGAATATTTGTTCTCTTTCCATTAGTCCTCTCTATCACTTAGTAACAAAAAAAACCTGATGAAGTAAAAGATGATTGGAATAGAAGTGTTGTCAGGCACAGGATTTACTGGAAATTTGCTACTATGATGCAGCATCACTTCATACTGTGAAATTTCTTTACATTTTAAGAGCTGGAGAAAGAAATTGATGAACTCAGATCTAAAGCAGCTACTGCAGGAGCTGATGATATTATTCAGGTAGGAATGTGTAATGGATATCTATTGTATTATGTAAAGTTAGCTGAAATAAATCCACAGAAGTAATTTGGTAAATAGTAAAGAGCTTGAAAACCATTATTCAAATAGAATGAAACCAATCTGCAGGAATCCAAGACACTTCCTAAAGTGGTTTTTTTCCTTCTCCCCTCATGTCCTTACTCCACTTGCCAGCAAACATTCTTGGTTCTGTGAGGAATAGTACAGAGTAGTACACTTTCCAAGCAGAACTTACCACAGCACTTCAGTACTTAAAGTGGGCTTATAAGATGTGGACAAACATTTCAGCAGGGCCTGTTTCAATAGATCAGGGAGTAATGGTTTTAAACTAAAAGTGGGTTGATTTAGATTAGATATAAGGAAGATGATGTTTTACACAGAGGATGATGAAACATTGGAAAAGGTTGCTCAGAGAGGTGGTAGATTCCCCACCCCTGGAAATAATCAAGATCATGTTGAATGGGGCTCTGGGCAACCTGATCACTGCAGGGGCTTTGGACTCAAAGGCCTTTAAAGGTCCCCGCCCACCCAAACTATTCTATGAGTACAAATGTCCCTAGCAAGACTTTTCCTTGTGTGGCTGGTTAGACCAGCTTTTGTTTGTTTTGGAGTGACCATTGTAGAAAGACTTCAGCCGCTTAGAGAAGTTCTGAGACAGTCATTTGATAAGATTAGAAGAACATAATTCAAATTGCATGTCACAGAAAATACTTTTAGGATCTGTCTTTCTCAGGATGAAGATCATAGTATACAAAAGTGAAAATTGGTAGTGAGGGGGAATTTCTCAATTAGAGAATTGTTTTTATTAGAGAATAATTTGGATGGAGATTTCTTTTATACAGAATGGGAATTTCACCACCACCACTTTGTAATAAGAATTAGCTGATCCCAAGTACAACTTTTAAAAGAACCCAACATCATTGCTTTTGTCTACCTATTTAATATCATTTGCATTTGGGCTGAAAGCAATTTTTAAAACCAGACTGATGCTCTTATTTGACAAAAAGGGTTGTAATCAATATGTGAGTTCCTACATTTTTCAGAAATCACTGTTTCCATTATTAAGAAACTGTTCTTTCAATAATCTTTCTCATTTAATATTAGGCTCTCACAGAAAGGCTGGATGCTGTGCTTCTGGAAAAAGCTGAAAGTCAGCAGCAGTGCATAGCTCTGAAAAAAGAAAATATTCAAGTAAAGCAAGAAGCAGAGGTACTGAAACGGACCACAGAACGTTTCTGAAATGTTTCAGAATTATTTTTATTTTCTAGGTTTCCTTGTTGTGTATTTAATTTTAATATTTTTCTTCACTTACCTGTGTTCTGTCTGTTAAAAAAATCTAAACATAAAGGCTTTATATATTAAAGCATATTTTCTCTGTACCACGTAGTTCATAGTAATAAATAAAAAATTATTATATACACTGTCTAGTTCCACAGCTGCAAGATGAATTCAGTCTGTGCATTAACAGGCTACACAGACTTCAATCAATCAGCTCTGGTTTTCCATGGGAGCACAGGTTTACCTTTATGAGGTAAACCTTTAGATATTCATAAGAAGGAGCATGTCAGTCAAGGCATCTATATTATATCAATAATCTCAATTAATAGTAAAGTGAAGACTAAATTGCTTGCAATTGATGGACATTGTTATATTCCAGATACCTGAATTTGATGCACTAAAAGTAATCTGATCTTTACTATATTATCAGAATAGTTGCTAAAGCTGAACTCTGTCATGACTATTTTGTGAAATTATGCTGGTAAACATGATTTAGGACTTAGTTTTCCTTTCATATTTTGCAAATGTTCTTGTACTCTGTGCAGTGTCTTCTGAATTGAGTTATTCTAATGCATAAGTTAGATATTTAAAAGCTATATCAGTCTTTAAAACTAGACTGCTACATTTTCTAATTCATTGTTGTAAACGGTTCTCTTGGAAATTTGGTGTGCTAAATTAACCAGTATTTAATAATTTGCTTGTATGCTTAGGCTGCAGTGGCAAAAACTGAAGAATTGCAGAAGGAACTGGAACAATCAAGAATTGACTCTCTGGAAGAAATAAAGGCTCTGAAGAGTGAATTAGCAAATGCACAATGCAAGCACGATGAGGATTTAAAAAAGCTGAAGATGGAATTAGAAGAACAAGTAAAAAAACAAATGGAGCTGGTGGAACAGGCTGAATGTTACAATGACAGTCAAAAAGAAGTTAAAAGATTACAAGATGATGTCCAAAGAATTAAATCTACTTATGAGGAGCAAATTTTGTGTCTGAACAAACAGTTGGAAGATTTGAATGAAGACAAAAACAAAGAAGTGACAAATCTGCAAGAAACTATTAAAAGCAACTCTCAGTGTTACCATAATGAAATAAAAAATCTGAATGAAGAGCTTAAAAAATTAAAAATTGCCCATCAGGAAGAGGTGTCAGAACTAATGCATCAAATTGAAGTATCATCTAAAGAGAATGAAGAAAAGCAAAATCAAATAAATCAGTTACAGCACAATTTGGCAGAGAAAAATGCCAAGGATGAAATGCATGCTCAAACTGACCAGCATGAATATAACTTGGATCAACTGAGAGAAGTCTTAAATAAAAATTTAGAAAACAAGATAGATGTTGCAGATACACAGGAAGAACCTTGTGTAGAAGCAAAAATGGAAGAAAAAGTTAGATACCTAGAGCATAGTTTAGAAGAACTCCAGTCTCAACATAGTATATTAAAAGATGAGTTAACTTATATGACCAATGTCAAGATAAAACTTGAAGAGGAAATCCATCGTATGAAGGATGAGTACTTTCACGAGAGGGAAGATTTGGACTTTAAGATAAATGAATTGCAGCTTACTAAAGAAGATTACTGCTGTGTAATTGAAAAACTAAAATTGGAGCTTCAAGCAGCGGGACAGCACTATGAAACTGCTGCGAAAGAGCACAAATTGGAGATTCAAACTCTGAAAAATGAACACAAGAGAGAAATTTCTGAACTAAATGAAACTTTATTATCTGGTTCTGAAAAAGAACAGATGGCATTCGTTTTTGAAATGCAGGAACTTAGAGAACAACTTGAAAAGCTAACTCAGGAGAAAGAAGAAGCAGTGTCCAGTTACAACAGCCTGAGAGAAACAATGGAAACTCTACAGGCTGAGCTAGGTGAATCTGCTGGAAAGATCAGCCAGGAGTTTGAATCAATGAAACAACAGCAAGCTTCTGATGTCAGTCAACTGCAACAGAAACTCCGGGCTGCTTTCAATGAAAAGGATGTTCTTCTTGAAACTGTAAATCGCCTCCAGGAAGAAGTAGAAAAATTGTCATCCAATCAGTTAGAGATAGAAGAGCTTAAATGTAAAATTGCTAGTCTTCAGGAGGACAATAACACAATGATAAGCTCTATTGACCAAAAAGAGATTACTATAAGAGAACTGGAAGAAAAGATAGTTGTACTAACTGATCAAAACAGGGATATTTTAAATGATGTAAAATGCTTGGGTGAAGAGAGAGAAATCCTTCAGGAAACGTCCAAGCAAGACCAAGTTAAAATTCAGGAACTTCAGCAAGAAGTGGATGTTGCTAAACAGTACGTTAATGACCTGAAGCAAAAGCAAGAGGTATTAATAGAGAGACTGAATGAAGCTTTAACTTTAAAGGGTGAAAATGCTCAAATGCTAGAGCAACTAGAAAAACAGATTGAATCTCTGGTGCGTGATAAAGAGCAGCTTTCATCTGAAGTGTACACTCTTCATGAGGAAAATAAGAAACTCATTCAGGAAAAAGGTGAATTAAGTGAAGAGCTGGGAAAGGCTACATCTGAAAAAGATGGTTGTTTAGTATTGAAAGAGCAGTCTGAAAACTTACAAAACAAACTACAAATGATGACTGCAGAAAAAGATCATATATCAACACTACTTGAAAATGAGCAAATGCACACATCCCTTGTAAGAACTCAGCTGTACCACCTACTTGAGCAGGTGGGGTTCAGCGTTTCAGATTCTAATGAAGAATATGATTCTCTTAACTTGTTAAAAATTGCAAATGAATGCTTATCAAAAATGAAAGAAGAGCAGTGCCTTGCTCTACAAAAGGAGGAGGAAGTAATTAGTTTGCAGCGAGAAGTTGAGAGATTAGAGGAAGAAAATGCAGCTCAACATAGAGAACATAGATCCCTTATTCATGATTTTGAAAAAGAAAAAAATCTCTTGAGAGAAGAACTGGAAGGAGTGTTGTCTGAAAAAGAAGCGCTTCAACGTGACATCCAGGAGCTGAGGAATGCCAGTGAAAAAGCAAGGATTGAAAATCAAGATCTTTTAGCTAATGCTGAAGAGATCAATCAAAAACTTGCTTTTTATGAAAGTCAAATACAAGAACAGCAAAAAGAATCTGAAAAACAAGACGACCTAAATTTCATTCTGGAACAAAAGGAAACTGAGCTTAGAAATGTGAAAGACGAACTGAGTTCTCTAAAGGTTATATTTTGTTATTGAAGTATAAAGACTAAACCTCTAAAGTCTTCAGAATTAAGGTTCAAAAAATACTTTCAATTCTCTCTTTTCTTTTTTTTTCTTTTTTTTTTCCCTTGGCCTAAAAGTGAGTCTCCCTTCTAGAATGCACATATTTCTGGGTTTTCTAGCACCTCAGAAATCCCTTCTTTCCCCCAGGAAAAAAAAAAAATGAAACAAAACCAATCATAATGTTTTTTGACAAAAGTTGCTTGTACTTGAACCTTTCTTCTTATCAATATCCCTTGAAGCAATCAATTGACTAGATGGACTGACCTGATAATCTTTCACCTCTAACTTTCTGTGGTTCCATCTCAAAGCTGATTGATCTGCATTAGCTTCAGGTCTTGGGAATTGCTGACAGTTGTAAAGCTGACAGCTATAAAGCTGACAGCTATAGAATGAGAGTGTCTCCCCTTTTTTGTCCTTGGACAGGATGGAAAGCAGCTCTTAAAAGATTGCAATGTTCTGCTTTCAACATAACTTTCACCAAGCTGATATGAAGTTGCTCATAAAGGCTTTCCTGGTAGTAGGAACATAGACAGTTTTAGCTGTAGCTGAAACTTCTGGAGGCTTGTTAGGGACAAAATAGGTACCACAAAGAAATTTTTGTAATACTTCTTGTATCTTTGTTTATAATACAGAATTTAATGGAGACAATGACTGAGAAAACTGATCAACAGTCTTCAGTAGCAGAGCTTCAAGAAAAAATTGGTATCTTTCTCCCTTTTTTCATATATATAAATGGTTTGGCTTCTTTGGATTGTTACCTTTTCTTTCTTTGCATAATTGTCCTGTATTTTTGCAAGTTGAGGAAGATGGAGAAGTAGATATTAATGCATCTTCCTACAGTATTCCTTCCATTAAGGATTTAAAATATTAGCAGTTTTAAGTTGGTTATGATTTGATACTTTTTAAGGCTTTTTCTTCCTCTGTACATCTGTCTATAAACAGTGTAGTGGATTTAATCTTTATTTTTTAAATATGAGAAGGTTATCAGTAAGAATCCCTGAGGCTATGAGACGGAAAGAGAAGCAACACTGCCAAAACTACTGTTGCTTTATTGGAGTTATCCCAACACATTAACAGGAAAATGCTTCTGCGTTGTTAAATTCATGTAGAAGTAGACAGCAATATAACTCTTAATTGTGATGGGAGCTTCTGAAGCAGGGAAAGATTGTCCAGTGAAAGATTGTCCCTAAGCTTTCTGTGTGTCTGGATGTTTTAGCTTCAAATTAAATGTTTGAGTGAAACACTTGAACATCTCCCCCTGGATTATATTTTGTTTGGTTTTACAGTCATGCTGATGTTTGTGTTCTAATTGAATTTAGTTTAATTTCACTTCTTAGGAAGAAATGAAAAGGTGTAATTTTTAATTTTCTTATGTATTTATTTATCTTAGGGATGCTTGAAAAAGAATCTGCTGAAAAAGGAGAGAAGCTAAACAAAATTAAAGTGGTTGCTGTGAAAGCAAAGAAAGAATTAGATGCCAGCCGAAAAGAGGTACTCTGACTTTTTCCTGATAAGAGGAAGATTCTGCATGGAGGGCTTTGTTATAATGACACACTCTTCTTTTTAATAAGACGCAGACTCTGAAGGAACAGTTGGAGTTGGTTCAATCAGAAAAAGATCAATTGTCTGCTTCAATGAAAGATGTAATCCAAGGAGCTGAAAGCTATAAGGTAAGAATAATGCTGCATTCACAAAAGACAGTAAACTATCGGAATAGTTTGCATTCACAAAAGACAGTAAACTATCGGAATACTTTGAGTTTGAAGCCTAGCCTGGAGATACATTGTTTTTACTTGCGCACTATGTTTGGTGAAAGAAATTGTGTCAGTGCACTTGAATACCAGAATCAAGAAATGCAAGGTTCTTTTAAAGGGAACTGTGCAGCTGCTGTCAGAAGAGAATGAGACACTTCCTTTCTACTGGAATGAATCTACTTTTGAATCTAGCACCATATGTACCAAGCAATGTGTTACGAGGCAAAACAAATCCCCATGAATTCTGCAACGTACATAAAATTGAAGATCAGTTTGAAAATCCTTAAATGATGAAGACAAACTTGTAATTTCCTGGGAGAAAGTCTTATTGGATCACATATCTGGGCACATGAGGCAGAAGCAGGTGACGAGTCAGCATCACTTCCCCAAGAGAAAGCTGTTCCCTGTAAGTCTTAGGAGGAGAAGCTGAGGAAGCTGAGGTGGTGTAGTCTGGAGAAAAGCAGGCTCAGGGGAGGTTTTATTGCTCTCTACAACCACCTGAAAGAAGGGTATAGTCAGGTGAGGATCAGTCTTTTCTCTCAAGGAACAAGATAGGATAGAGGGAAATGGCCTTAAGTTCCACCAGGGGAGGTTTTGATTGGATATTAGAAACAATTCCTTTATGAGAAGGGTGCTCAAGCATTAGAACAGGGAAGCAATGGAATCACCATCCCTGGTGGTATTTAAAGTATAATAAGTAAACACAGCAAGCGCTTTATATACAAGTATATAAAGTAAACATGGCACTTAAGGACTTGTTTTAGTGGTGGATTTGGCAGTGCTGGGTTTACAGTTGGATTCAATGATCTTAAAGGTCATTTCTCATCTAAATGATTCTTTGACATCATTGAGGGTATTGTGTCCAGTCTTGTCCCTCCTTTTCCTCCCAAATGCAAGAAAGACATTGATAACTTGAAGTGACTTCAGTGGAGGAATGAGCAGGTTGGTCAAGGGTCTGGAATAAGTGATGAGAAGTTGCTCAGCCTAGACAAAATTTCAAAGGAACCTAATAGGAGTCTTCCAATACCTACAAAGGCATTATGAAGGCAGGAGAGTCAGGTTATTAATGGTGGTGCAAGATAAGAGTCCTCAATTGAAAGGAGAGATTTCAGCTGGATACATGGGTAAACATTTTTATGCTATGAGAATGGTCAAGCTTTGGAATAGGTTGCCCAGTGGAGTAGCTATCTCCATTTTTGGAGGCAGGTCCCTGGAAAGACGAGATTGGACAAAGCCCTGAGCAAGCAACCTGGTCTCATCTCACTGCTGACCCTACTTTAAGCAGGAGCTTCATGTGATACCTGCTGAGCTGTCTTCCAATCTGTATTATTCTAGAATGTCATGAACTGAAAGGGCTTTCTCCTAGAGCCTGTAATGGAATGATAACTTTAATTTCATTCTGATATTTCTGATGTTGCAGTAAGACAACTTATATAATGAAATTCTCAGAGGCAGAGAATGTGCTTATGCAATACATATTATAAAAAAACTATAGCTTTGTGTTTGTATGTGTTAAGAATCTTTTGATCGAATATGACAAGCAAGGAGAAGAGCTGGATTCTGAAAAAGGCAGAGCAAATAATCTTGAACGTCAGATAGATGACCTCACAAGACAGCTACAGGTGTCATCCGAGCAGGTCAGTTCTGGATGTGGGTCTGATCTATTGATAATTGCCATAAAAATTAATTCTGCCTATTGGGTGCAAGTTTTAATCATGTGATTGTTACTATAGTTTCATAACCTAAGTGTGTTTTGAATAATGACTTGAAATTCAGAGTGGTTTGTTTGTTCTTTTTCAACATCTGATATCTTACCTGGGCAGTGAAAAAGATAAATATATCTAGAATGTCTGGCTTTGTCAATACAAAGTGTTTAATTTATCCTGGGTCAACTCAGAGAAAAGAGCAGGTTATCTCTGGCTTGATTTTGGACCTACAGCTCTGCTACAATCGTACTGTTTCTCTGACTGCACACTTACACTTTTCAGTGCAGTAACCTTTAACTGAGACATTTTTTCTTCTATTTTTTCAACAAAATGTGGCTTTGGGGTTTTTTAAAATTTTTTATTTAATCAACAGAGTGTTTGAATATACTAAATGAATTATGGATTTTTCATTTTTCACAAGAATGAGACTTTAAGATGCATTGTAGAGTACTACAGTGGCATTCAGAGGAGTCTGAGATGGTAATTAAGGGGCAGTGAGACATATTTTTGCAAAGCTAGCTACAATAGGTTTGGTATTTTGGATTTAAACTCCCAGGCCCCATATACCGGATCCACCTAGGTCACTGTTTCCTTAGAAACACAAGCCAGTAGTCAAGGGCATAGGAAGAGATAAGAAATAATAGTATATATTCTGCTGATTGTGCAGGCATTGCATTTTTCAAGTTTGTTATAAAGAATTTGTAAATAAAACATCATTTAAGTAGTTGACATCTTTCACTTATATTTCATTCTTAATAGGCAAAATAAAGAATAGTATACATCATTAAAGGTGTCAAAATTTAATCTGTTGAAGTCATTGCAAAAGTATGCCTGTTGCAGTACAGTTCTTACCATGTACTGCTGGAAAACTTGGTTGTTCAGTCAAAACTTGCAGTTCAGTGTTTTTTAGGAGTTAATAGTATGATCATTTGTTTATAAATACAGGAGGTATATTTGAAGTGTGGCAATAAGTATTGAAATACTGTACTGTTGCAAGGAGAAGGTAATAATGCAGAGAGCATAAATTTTGGGGTATTTTTTCACATTTCTTTTGATTCTTGCCATTTTACAGAAAGCTGGGAAAATTAACTTAACAAAATAACCAAAATGTGGTAATGGCTTTAATTTCACCTGTTTATTAATCTGGTTTAAAAGAATTAAGCTGGACAATACTTATCTGTAAGAGTGTTGTTTGTAAGGGATTTGAATAAAAATCAGTGTTGGGTATTTTTTTTTAAATACAGAAAATATTTTCTCTGATAACATTTCATATAAGTTCAGCTTTTGTTTTTATCATTCCACTGTGCTAATTTCAGCATGATCAGTTACGCTCTGCTAATGAAGATCTCCTGGCTCGTGTTGAAACACTGCAAAATAATGCCAAGCTGCTGGAAACTCAGATACTGGAGATACAAAGAGCCAAAGCAAAGGCTGACAAAGAACTAGAAGCTGAAAAGCTTCTGAGAGAACAGAAAACAAAGGTAGTACTTCACAGAGACAGCGAATGGGCTGAAGCATTACTTTCACTGGATATGGTTTCTGTTGGACCTTTGTAAACTGTGTTTTTATAGATCAGGTTCAACACTTTCCCTCCATGTTACTCGACTTTTTTGAAGACTTGGTCTGTTAATTGAAAGAACTTTGCAAGGCTGTCAGTTCAGGTTGGGGGTAGTTATACAGAATGTGAAAACCACTTCATATTACTGTTATTTTTCTCTGGTTCACTGTGTTTTCCTAAAAAAGGAATCAACTATCTTTGTACAACACAAGTGTGTGTGTATGTGTGTGAAGTATAGAAAGATGCTGACATCTGTTTTGAAATTGCACTGCATAATTGATAACTGCTTAAATTTCAGGAGCATAGTGGTGCTCTCCGAGAAATGGAGGAGCTTCAGATGCAACTTCAGAAGGAAAAGAAACATCTGCAGAAAACTATGCAAGAACTAGAGCTGGCCAGAAAGGTAGAGTTGCTGTCCATGTTAGTGCTCAATGGACTACCCAAAATTTTGGCCCATCTGGCTGTGTTGAATTTTTGTTTCCCTTTCTGTTGTGAGGATTTTAAAGCCAGAGGTTTGCAAAAGGGAGAATGTGAGGGCTTTTGCCCCTGGCTGTGTGCTTGGAGAGCTGAAGTGTACTTTTGGGATTTGTTTTGCTTCTACTTTTTGTTTGTTTGTTTAGCTTGGGTGTGATGGTTATGTAGCTCTTCATGAGTAGAAATAGGAATAGAATCCAGATGTCTGGAGTACATTTATAGTGCACTGTTACAAAATTGCCTTGGTTGTAAGGACTGAAGATGGCAGAAATTAATACATACAAAATACCTACTGATAAAACTAGCAATGGGTTTTTCAAACCATTTGGCTCTCATTTGAAAACAGATTATTTTTCTGAGGCTATGTAAACCCAATGGATGGTTGGCCTTTGTGGATATGGACAGAGACAAAATCTTTGTCTGATGGGCAATATAGTTTTGTACAGAATTACAAAAATCTTAGCAACCTTAACAAAACTGTAACTTCGTTTTGTGTACCTTGCAGGATGCTCAGAAGAGTACACTGATGGATATGGAAATAGCTGATTATGAAAAGCTAGTAAAAGAACTTAATCAGAAGATTACTGATAAAGACAGCAGAATAGAAGATCTTGAGCAAGAAACAGGGATTCAGAAACAGAAACAGGAAACCCTACAGGAAGAAATAAGTGAGTAAACTATAAGCAGCAAAAGTTGCAATGGTATAGTGAGCAGTAATAAAAAATAAAATTCAGAAACAACTTCTTAAGTTAGCAAAGGAGGGTATGCTTTGCAGGGAGTACTAAACAGTTGCATTAGAAAAGCAATTTTGTCTTAGAGGAACCTTTACTAGATTCTCAATCACTTAATCCAGTATTCATCACTTAAAAGCCAGTTTGCCTGCCTGACATACTGTGTTTCTTACCTGATTAAGTTATTCATAAGTCCTAAATATTGGTGACTGACAAGGGCTTCATTCTGATGTACACTCATAAAACTTTACTGATTACCATGTGACTAAAAATTCAATTTCTTCCTGTGCTCAACTGTAAATCTTAAAAATACTTCACTTATAAGATCTTTGTGATAATTTAGGAAAAGAATACTAAAGTTACTGTAAGCCACTTATTTGCAGTTCTTAAGGAATCTGTTAGAATTTGTTTAAATATTTTCCAGCATTTTTAAGGAAATAAGAGGGGAAGTTTCCTTTGCATATAATTGTTACTTTCTGCATTAGAGTCACTTCAGTCAACTATGCAACAGGATGAGGAAAGAAATGCCAAGATAAAACAACTCCTGGTGAAAACCAAAAAAGAACTAGCTGATTCAAAACAAGCAGTAAGTCCATATGCTAATGACTGTGTATTCTCTTTTTAAACTAGATTTTAAAAAAACAGCTGGTAGTTAAATGTTTAAGTTACTGAGGCTTGGAGGTTTTTTTTAATATCCAGGTAATTTTGTCTTGCAGGAAAGTGACCATCTAATGTTGCAGGAATCATTGAAAGGGGAACTGGAAGCCAGTCAACAGCAAGTGGAAGCCTATAAGGCAAGAAACTTCACTTTTTTATTAGTACAAGTCTTCTTATTTAAGTAGTAAGGGTGTGATTTTTACTGGGCACATGGAATATAGGCTGAAGAATAAAGAGGTGCTATTTTTACCTCTAGTTTACTGGTTCTTTTTCTTAAATGAGTTTTGTCTCTTTGCTGCTTTTACCAAATATTTTTTTCTGTGATTTTCTGTAAGCAGTTTTACCCTGTCTTTTTCCTCTTTCCCTTTCCACCAAAGGACAGGACTATGGAGTTTGAAACTTGCAAATGGAATGTATTTTTTAAAGATTCTTTAAAAATGGAAGTTGCTCAGCTTAAAAACAGAAGAGCACAACATTGTCAGCAAAAATCTTAAATGTTGTCCATGTGTATACAGAATGGAAATAGATTGGAATGTTATGAAAGAAGCAGGGAAGGGAGAGGGGTTGGCTTTCTTAAATGCTGCCACCCCAGCATTGTAATTTTATCTTCAATTCTCTTTTAAAACAACATCACTTTTTAAAAATTAATTCATGGTATTCCATGTCTATTTTATTCTTCTACTTCTATTGGATTTTAATTTTGTATTCACCTGTTCTGTGCAGGAATTATTGTAATAAGAGTCCTAGGTTCTCATTGGCATGTTCCCTTAGAGAAGTAAGAAAATTTTTTGTGATAGTGAAGTTTTCAACTGACTTTTTCAGATTCAAGTGGCTGTACTGACATCAGAAAAGCATAAAGTTCAGGAACAACTGCGAACATCTTCAGAGCAGCACCAGCGTACGATGAGTGCTTGCCAGCAAAAAATTGCAGCCCTGCAAGAAGAGTGCAAAACAGCCCAGGTATTCCAGTGGAAGAAGTAATCTTAAAAGTTTAAGAAGGGAGATTACTTGCACTCTCTGCTTCTTCAAAAATATTTTGCAGATTTTTCACTCTTCTCTTTTTGTATGTCAGGAGTAACAAGCTACCCCAGTAATTGAGTGGTGGTATAAAGGACAAGCCTGTCCTGGTTGTTGTGTGTCACTTGGAGTGATACATCTGGAGTTGCATACTTCTGTTTTCATTAGGGAAAAACTTGTAATGGGGAGCCAGTTTTTATTTAAGATGATCAGTAAGTATACAGTCAGGGAAAAGAAAAGTCTTTAAAGGAAAGGGCACAAATGAAAAAAAGGAATATAACTTCCTTCATATAAGACAAATTAACACAGATACCACTTTAAAGGAAAAAAGCTGTGAAAAATATATTTGCAAGCACCTTTTAATATGCTACAATATGAGCATCTTAATTGGCAGCTGAATTACATGGAAAACTGACACTGTTGCTGAACTTTATTATTATTTCTGGGATTTTTTTGCTCATATAACTGTTTGGTGGTCCTGGAATTCAGTGTTTGCATTGAAGACAAACAGATTCAAAGTATAGTAGGACTGTTATGTTCAAACCACCTTTATGGAGATTACTTCACTACACTCCACTGTTGTATGGTAGGTGTGCATCCTACAAGTAAGCAGCAGCTGAATGCAACCTCTCAAAAAGACTTCTACATTTTAAAAAGCTGAAGTGAAATGGACAAACTTTGTGATTGCTGCTGCAGGAGGTTTGCCTTAGTTGTGCTGGTACACATGGGTCATGGTTTTAGAAATGTATTCATCATACCTGGTGCTTACAGTACCTGTCTGTGGTGGCTTGTTTTGTGATGTTGTGAAATCAGCAAGGTTGTAGATCTTTCATATGGCATGACTTGAACTTGTGGAATATTAGCTTTCCTATTTAGATGCCCTACATATGGAAAATAGATATTATTACAAAGTTATTAGCAAAGGAAAATTTCCTCTAAAGGAAATGTGGACACCAAAGCAGATAGCAGAAAACAGAAGTCATGCTGACATTTAAGGCTGTGTACCTGAGGAGTTACAAATATTCACACAGTTTGACAGGAAGAAAAGCAAAGGATTAATTTAAAGAAAATGGCTGTAAATGTACAGACATAGAAAATCTGGACCAGTGGTGAATCAGAGTCAGTTCTGTAGAATTTCAGTCACCAGTTCAGCTGAAGGGAAAGTTTCTGAAATCCTCCTCTTGGAGATGAGAGCATTTTAGTTACCTGTAAATGGGATTGAGCAATGAATCCATGAGCTTGTCCCAAGATCCAAGAAAGAAAACCTGTGTCACTGTTTTTTTTGTAGAGGAATCTGTAACATGAGTACTGGAAGGATGGCAATCATCTTTGCCATATAGTGTAGAGTCAAGGATGTAGTTACTATGATGTGAGGCAATTTTCTATATGTCCACAGAAACTCAAGCAACAGCTGAATTTAGAAGAAAAGACAGACCAAGCATCTTTAGTCAACTAGAATATTTTATCTTGTGCTGTGTAATACCATTGCGAGACTAACTTAACTCCCCAGAATTATGCATAACTTTATGGCACATTGGAGTGCTGGAGAGAAACAGAATTATAGCAGTATTGGAGAGAAACAGAATTTTACCTCTTTTTGTATTTTCTGTCATGTTTGCCTTCATTTAAAGCTGTTCATAGAACCCCTGGCTTGTGAATCTCTCAGCTGAATGTGGTTTTTGAATTTTCAAGTATTCTTTCTTTTCTTTAATACCAGTATGTCGAAAATCAGTGTCTCATGTTCCACATTATATGATACTCAGTTAAAATCTAAAGAAACATTATCTGTTACAGTGGTCACTGTTTTAATTATCTATTTTAAAGAAGGAAGTGCAGCAGGTGGTTTTAATTTTTTTTGGTGTAAGATGCATTTTATTATAGAGAAATAAAGGAGCAATAGTCAGTAGTATAATTTACAGATTTGTTTTCTGTGTGATAGGCTGAACAAGCATCTATTACATCTGAATTTGAGAGCTACAAAGTCCGTGTTCATAATGTTCTAAAACAGCAAAAGAATAAATCTGCTGCTCGGACAGAATCTGAAGGAGCCAAACAAGAAAGGTAAAACTAACATTTTTACTTGATCTGTAATCTGACTGTGGCACTGCCTAGCTGAACAGAAGAAATATTAGCTTCTACTGTCATATTGCTGTATTCATTTCTAGTAGCTGGGTTTGTCTTTTAAACCATGATTTTTATGTAGATTACCTATTGTTACAGTCAGAAGGAGAAGTAAGGTCTTGGAAAGTTTTTTATGACTCTCATGAGCAGAAATTAGCCAGCACATTCTTTATAGACTTGACATGGCGTTTTCTCTGATGTGAAGTAGCCAGGTGCCATTTGCAACTAAGAGGAAAAGAGCAGATTGGTTCACTTTAGCTGAGCTCACTTTGAACTTTTTCAGGAGTGAGTGGTTTAGTGTAGGTAAAGCTCTGGATGCAAATTCAGTCATCATTTCCAGTAGATTTATAAAATCCTGTATGTTGTATCATGGGAGGAAAGACTTGGAAGAAAACAGTTACACTGCCAAAAGTTCCCTGAAAATCTTTTAAGTACAGTCATAAGCCAGGTGAGTTTAGATTCGCTTCAGAAAATGTCTCAACTCACTGCAAAAGTAAATTAGTTTCTGTAAGTTATTTTTATAAGTCATTGGTGGCTGCCCTTGGTGATGGACTGGGCGTTTCTGTGTGAAACGTCAGGATTCGTTTCTGACCCAGACCTTCAGTCAGTACCGGCAATTGCAGACAAAAATCCACCAGAGGGCGACTTATGCCTTCTTAGAGGATTTGGGTTTAGGTCTGGTTTGGCGTTTTTGAAACATTCTTGCCTTTGAAGCAACCAAACCATAAGAATTGCATTTCTTTGTCTCTCCTTTTTGCAGAATTTGAAGAAGTTCTGGTATTGTTAATTTTTTGTGAGAGAGAGCCATCTTGGAAATAAATTGGATAAGTAATAAACAGATGGCAAATGGTTCCAAAGAAATTATTTACAAGTCTCAGCTCTAAGGAATAGTGAGATACACAGTTCATGAAATAATGGAGGTGTCTGTGTATATAAACAGAGAAATCAGTAAAAAAATAATGTGTGTGATTTAAGATTTTTTTTCTTCCTGCTTTTTCTGATTTTGAATTATTGCTGGCCAACAGAGTTTATCTGTTATGGACTTGATGCTGCCTTCTAGTAATTTGCTCAAAATCTACTCCAGTCATTTGGCCCCTGCATTTGGTCTTACTGAACTGATATGCATTTACTAAACAAAAAAAAAAAAAAAAGCCTCACCACTTTTGAGAAGAATTTCTTTCTCCCATCCAAATCCCATATATTATTTTTCTTCTGTCTGGTCTCTCCTTGAAGTACAAAGTGCTGTCAGTCATGCTTCCTACCCCAATAGTTTCATTCCCAGTAGTTCACATTGGGATGTGGCAAACCTATTTGTATCTATGTTGAAAGAGGATCTGATTGTTTCTGCTGTAGCCACATTCTAAGATTATTTTGGTCTTAGTGCTGTGTTGATTTATTAATAAATATGCAAATTGGATCAGCTATCCAAAATATTGTGGATATTGTATAGGTTCTGAAATAATGTAATTATTTTAAATAATAATGCTGTGTATTCTTTTTTCTTCCATGTACAGGGAACAGTTGGAAATGGTGATAGATCAACTTAAAGTTAAGTTGCAAGATGCTCAGCATAATTCACAGATGAATGCCTCTGAACTCCAGACATTGCAGTCGGAACATGACACCCTGCTGGAAAGACACAATAAGATGCTGCAAGAGACTGTTGCAAAAGAAGCAGAACTCCGTGAAAAGTATGGTCTCCTGGTGAATAGATAGGAATATTCTTTTTGTTTGAATTTTAAGATCTTAGCATGTATAAGCCCATAATAATACTTCACAAAGAAAGAGCATGTTGAGAAAGTTAAAGGAATTTTCAAAAGGATTGTTTGCTATTTTTCACAAGCCATCAGAAGTTTCTACAATGACTATGAAATAGTAGCTGATCAAGGAATTTGAGATTTCTGCAAGCTTACTATCTCTTAACTATCAAATCTAAAACTTAACATTTTTTAATCACATTGACTCTTTCTGAGTTTAATGCCCAGCACCACATTTGTGTTGTGCTGCTCTACTAAATTTTATGGATGTTTCCTATTAAAAAAACTAAGTTTTATGCAAAGCAAACGAGTTTACTGACAAAATATGCAGTTCTTGTCCACCAAGTGCCTTTCTTGCAGAAAGTACTATATTTTAAGTTTGTGCTTGCACCAGGCTTAATTTGCTGTTTCATTCAAAATGAAAGGAATCTGTTTAATCTGTATCACTTCTTGTAAAATCACATGAATACCTAATACTTAAGCTCCTCAAGAAGAGTCTATCATTGTTTCTTCTTCTCCATTTTGGGTACAAAGAAGTTCACATGAAGTATTAATTAGAAATTACAGATTGATATTAGGAACTATTGACTTCTTGTCATTGACTTTGTACAGTTTTATCTGTTCCTCATAGCTACATAATGAATCAGTGTAGTCTATCAAATTATGTTCTGCATTTTTCTGGAAACAATCCATTTCACAATAGGTTCCATTTACACCTAAACACTGGTCTTTTCTACACTGGCTCTGTTTAAGTCTGTATGCTTATAAAGGTAAGTCCTGGGCTTAGTTTTTCCATAAATGCATTTGTTTAATTGCTTGTGACTTTATTTATTTATCCAAAGATGTCTGAATTTTTTGTTCTGAAGTAAAAGTTGAGAGTAGCACTATAGCACAGTGCATTCATATAATAAGTAATGTGTAACTTTTTCAGTCTCAGATTTTCCCTGTAAAAAGAAGACTTTAAATGAAAATAAGTTGCACATGTAGTCATTCTAAGATAATCATACACATGAAAATTGAAGACAGCCTCAAACTGTAAAAATTTTGAAATATAAAACTTACAGTATTTTTCTGTTTGTGTCTTACTGTTTGTGCATGCACTGTTTTCAGGCTCTGCACAATACAGTCTGAGAACATGGTCATCAAAACAGAGCATGCCCAGGCATTGAGTCAGCTGACAGCCCAGAATGAAGCTCTCCGGAACAATTTCAGAGATCAGGTCAGGAATCTGCAAGAAGAGCACAGAAAGACAGTAGAAACACTTCAGCAGCAACTCTCCAGAGTAGAAACTCAGCTCTTCCAGCTCAAGAGTGAACCAAGCACTAGAGGTAACTTCCAGGCTTGAGTACCAAGTTTTCATGGGCTGGTTACAGATTCATGTACCTCAGTGTGAAGGTAAACCATGCTTATAGTGTTTGATTCTGTAAAAACACCAGCAACTGTTTCTCAAAAATCTACAGCATGCTGTATCAGCCCACAGATACCAAGTCAGGAATGCTTCTTTGTTACTATTTACTGTCACTTCCTATTTACTGTCACTTCGGAATACTAAGGTTCTTGAATACATCCTGAGGAGGACAACAAAGGTGGTGGAAGGGTTGGAAGGACTGTCCTGTGAGGAACCACTGAGGACTCTGAGTTGGTCTAGTTTGGAGAAAAGCAGACCGAGGGCAACCTCATTGCTGTCTTACAGATTGCTGAGTGGGGCAAGTGAGGAGGGATAATGTTTTAATTTATGATCAGCCTTGAAGTGGTCAGGCAGTTGGACTAGATACTTGTAGGTCACTTCCAACTGGATCTGTTCTGTTCTAGAATCTGCATCACTGATACCTATTCTGCAGTATTTGCATTGTCAGACAGATGGAGGGAAATTACTTTGTAAATACTTGGTGTTCTTCTTATCAGGTTGTCTCAGGTTTTGGAGCATGCTGGACATCTGCCTCAAGTATAAAGTGTAAAGCTAGAGAAAAGTGTATTGGAAGCTGTTTTAAGAATGCTTGTTATTTGTATACATGCAATTTATCATACTTGCTATTCAATCCTTCTTTCATTTTAAGACTTTACTGTCTTCAATCTCAAATGTTATTTTCGTATCTGTAAAGTTACTAATCAGGAAGAAGTTGGACATTTGCCAAGCAACAATAACAGTTTAAGAAGTTGCTCTATTATTACTGAAGTAGAAGGGTCATGCACACAGCAGTAGAACGGAAGAATTTACGCCTCCCACAGGACTGGTTGAAGCAAAAGTGAATTCAGTTTTGCATTAAAGGTGTTTGTTACTCTTACCATAGCTAAAACACATCTTCAGGGAGATGTGCATGAAGGTTTCATAGTCACTGAAATAAAAATTGCCAGTCAAATTCGGGTTTAGAACCAGACTTGGATTGGAATGGCCACTTGGAGGTGAAAGGCTGTATTTATTTTACTGTTATAAATGTTACGTGCATATCTGGCTTTTTCTTTTGCTTCACCATCCCCTGCATTTTGAGGACTATTTTATGTACCACTCTCAATCCAAGACAGTCACACGTAGGAAATAGCCCTCCCAATTTCATTCTGATATGAACATCAGTAAGTATCTTTCAGGTCCAGCTGTTTCAAATCCAGCAATGAAGAGCTTGAGAGAACGGCGGAACACTGACCTTCCTGTCCTCGATGTGCACACTGTCGCTAGGGAAGAGGGAGAAGGTATGGAAACAACAGACACGGAGTCTGTGTCCTCAGCCAGCACCTATGTTCAATCCTTGGAGCAACTTCTGAACTCATCAGAAGCAAAGCCTGGTAGGTAGAATGTGGCTTTCAGAAGTGCTTGCCTACATAGGTTGCAGAAGTTCATGCCCTCAAAATATTTTAGAGCATTGTGTTTTCATGCTTTTAGGTGTAAGACACAAGCTTAGTCAAGTGCCACTGAGTTTATACTGTCCTGAACTTTTGTAGGAGTTTTGTCATTGAGTAAGAACTAACAGTAGGACATTCCTACAAGTTTTAGTGATTTAAAGGTGTCATATTTCTGAGCTTTTAAAGGGAAAGACTGGGTGAACAAGTCAGTGAATAGTTAGAGAAATTTTTGTATTCTGGATGAGTCTCTAATAGGGATAATTAAGTGCTGATTTAACCCTGAAAGGATAAAATTTCTGTTCATCATAATGAGGCTTATTAGAACAGTACTTGATTCATAGGGTTTTTCTAGGAAAGTAAAGCACAGCATGAAAGAATGTTTTGGGAGTCCCCAAAAACCAGAAAAATACATGTTAGCATATAATCCAGTTTTAGAAGTCTATTGAACACTACATGGATAGCTATTGAAAATCTCAATTTATGGGTAGGAAACAAGGAGTAAGTTAAAACCAAGTATCTTGAGGTACTCTAGAGCTGCCAGCCCCCTTCTAATCCATAAACAAAAATAGATCAGAAAATAAGCATGCAGCAGCATTGATGCCTGTTAAGTCCACACTCTGACTTTGCATTAATTCTGTTCATAAGAAACTAATGAATGATTAAGACATTAACCAAGTCCTGATGCTAAGTTAGTATGAAGTAGGTGCAAGTGCTTCTTCCTTTTCTTAGTTTTCTTTTCCAATTAATTGCAGAACCATCTCAGTGGCAAGCAGATCTCACCAAGGATGAACTGATTCAGAAACTAAACACAACAACTAAGAGTGCTGATCACTTGAATGAATTACTTCGTGAATCAGAAGCAACCAATGCAATCCTAATGGAACAAATAAAGGTTAGCAGACACACAAGAGATGTGAAGACAGCTCTAATTTCCGTGGTCTGTTTCTTAGACCAAATGTTTTTCAGAAAATCTCTGTCTATAAAATTTTGGTGATGTAAAACTTAGTTTGGGAGGGGGTTTTATTCCACAGGTCTAACTAGTGCTTCCAGGGTCTACTTCAGTTTTTGGGGTTTTTTTCACTACAGTTTGTAGTTGGGTAGGCATGGTGGGGAGAGGGGACAGGAGTGTGGAGTAAAAGCTTCTACAAAAAAAACCCTCAAGAGTTTGGAAGTTTAATGTTTAGTAAAGGGTCCATACTATTTTCACTTAGATAAAAGCAGTAAGTACCAAGGGAAGCAGTGTTGGGTTTCTCTTTCTGTAACCCATTTTAGCTCTCTTAAGCTGAAAGAAGACACATGAACTCATGTATGAGTGAGTTTTCTGAAGACATTTCTAAATGTACTAAGCTTTCTCTTCAAAAATGCTTTTAAATTAATGTAATCAGATTTCCGAATTATTAAACTGTTCAACTGTTACTACTCTTTTATCACTGATACTGTATCTCTGTACTGCACAAATTTTATCAAAAAAGGCTATTTTTAGTCAATAATAAATTCTTACAACATTATTACATATTTTATTTTCACTGGATTTTCATCCTGTATATGTTGCTAAACACCCATTTTTCTTTTTGAAGCAAGCTGTGCAATTAATTTTGAGAGAGAAAAGTCTGTGGCTAACCTAGAATACTTGAAGAATGTTCTATTGCAGTTCATATTTCTGAAATCAGGAAGCGAGAAGGAACGGCTGCTCCCAGTGATAGACACCATGTTGCAGCTCAGCCCTGAAGAGAAAGGGAAGTTGGTTGCAATTGCCCAAGGTACATGGTGTTCAAAATATTGTCACAAAGAGGAAAATTGGAAAAGGGATAGTTCTGTGCTGTCTGTTGCCTAGACCTTTGAGAATAAACAAAACTTAGTATCATAATGTCAGTGAACTAGTCATAAAACCATTTTCTCTGTTGGGAAGTTACTATTCAGTTTTCAGTAAACAGAACAAATACCATTAAATTGATATAAAATATAATTTTTTCTAAAACATTCACATTTTAGGAAGATAATGGTAAGTTGAAAAATGTAATGCGTTCAGGTTTTGAATAGAGTTTTTTTATTTTTTTTTTGTCAAAATTGAGGTTTATATAATTTAATTATTTTCTTTGCAGGTGTTCTAAACAGATAACTAAAGTGGTCTTCTCAAGGCAGTACTACAAATCTAATACTAGTTTCAATATAAAACATTTAAAGATATGCTCTTTGTTGAAGAAATAAAGGAACTAGGGAAGGATGTAAAAAGAGTTAGGTATTTGCAAGAAATTAACACAGGATTTCTGTGTGCAATAATGTTCTGTTTCTGCTTCAAATACTCTGAGCATTCGTTCCCTTAAAATGCTTTTTAAGGTATTGTTTGTCATTTCTCAGTGACAGTAACTGTAGCTTGTACTTCATTAGCAACTTACCTATACTTTATCTTAGAATTAATATAAACAGTAAGCAACACATGTACATGTAAGAACTTAAAACTTGTGAACAAAATCACATTAGAAAGGGAAGGGTTCAAGTACTGCATTCCTTGATAGGCTGTGCATTTGGAAAAATAAGATATAAGTCAAGTTGATAGCATGTTGATGTTGTTCTGGCCCTCTAATGAAGACTGATTGGATTTTTGTGGAGAATGGTGATAAATTACCTTTTTCAGACATTCTTAAGTACCCAAAGTAAAGTGGACTTGGTGGTTCAGTCCATATCTATGTCAACCCAAGAGTGAGTTCCTTTCTCAGCAAGCTTGAGGACAGCATTTAAAAAAGGATAAAGGCAAAGAGTGAGGGCAAGGTCATGTAACCAAATGGTGCAATGTCTAACACACTAAGTGTCTAACATAATAAAAAGTATGTTCTCTTCCTCCTTCAGGTGAAGAAGAGAGTACCTCACGGCCTTCTGGGTGGGCTTCATACCTCCACAGCTGGTCAGGACTTCGATAAAACAGTGGAAACACTGAATCTTTAAAAACATTCCAAAAACAACTGCAAACCAGAGAAATCTTACTGTAGATCTGTTGGTGTTGTAGCGTTGAACTACAGGGTTTTATTTCTGTGTGTTATTTTCAGCTTTTTAGGCTCTACTAAGAAAGCAGCCTGCAGTAGCTCTGAAACATGGTCCTATGTTATGCTCTGGCAGCAGTGAATTATTTTTCTTGTAAATGTTAAAGCTGATAGTAAGAACTATGAGAAGTGACAAATTAATTGCAAATAGCTTGGAAACAGAATATGTCACCCTGTGATAGCTCTTTTGATATCAGTTTAAAAGTTTGACCTGATATATTAACTGGAATAACTAGAGTTTAGATTTAAAACATTTAAAAGTGTTTACAGTTGCTTTCACATATCACTGTCAGCTAGCTAATCTATATGGTTAATGTTATTCTCTACACATTTAAGAAATCTAAAATTATTTCCTCTCTTGTGATGGCTACAAAATATGAGACAATTAAGAAACAGAAAGGGCATTTTCTGCTTTAAAGTTGTAGTCTTTCCTAAATTATTTTGCTTTTGCAGAACATGAAGGCAACAGTTCACAAAATGTAGAGGGTGCAAAAATCTGTATGAAATACAGTGCTTGTCACAGCTGGTACTGTAGTTGAGATTAATGGCATCTCTGGAAGCCATAGGATAGTACTGCAATACTCTGAGGTCCTAAATGAGCTAAAGCTTTGTGAAAAAGGACTGAAGCTAGGGCTTTTTAATCTGAGGTTGGAAGTTCGTGGAAAAGACCAGGAAGAAACGTTCCATTACTGTAACGATGTCTGTAATTGGATTACAAGACTACTCATACTGACTTAGTCATAGTGAAGACACTAAAGAAAGAATTTGAGCCCACAGGTCAGACTCCTAACATTAACTTCTGAGAGAAAATAATGAAACTTTTGTCAATAGATGCATCTTTTAAATGTTCTAATGATTGAAAATCTTATTCTCTCACTTACCTGTATGTGTGCACATTGTTTGCACAGATCTTTTGCACAGATGAGATGATCTCTGTTCCAGGTTACTCAACAGAAGTTGTTTTTTCCAAGAAAAATGAATTTCCACCATCTCTGCTTCTGTTAGCAGCACAGCACCTTTTTTTTGCCTTCAGTTGTCTTCTCCCCTTTACAGTCCATAATGCTTTTCACCATCTTAATTTATTTGTAAGGTTTTAAAAAACATGCATATGTGTTTGGATCCTGCTTATGTTTAAACCAGAGTATTTTTGTCTTTTTCACCCATATTTTTATGTTCTCTGTGTTGTTTTACAGAGAGTCTTTCCCTAGTACACATAGAAATACTAAATAGGTTTCTTCCTTTCCTATCTGCCTGAGCTCAGGCTCTGAGGAAATGACACTTGTTCCTTTAATATTGCCTTATTTCAGGCTGAGATTAATCTGAACATATGAACAGAATGGCAACATTTTGAGAATAAACTGTTCAGTAAGTTTGCTTTTGGTTTAATTTCTTGCTTGTTGTATATGTTTCGGTACACAATCAACAAAGCAACCAGGCTTTATTTAGGTATTTTAATTCCTTTCCACTGTCTTAGGCACTTCTTTCTATTTTCTTCCCCTCCAATATGTATTTTAACTGGAACTTTTTTGGTTTGTGCTACTGGGGAAAACATTCTCTGTGGACTTGCAGAGACAAGAACATAGAACAGATGAACAGCAGTGTGAGGGACGAGTCTTCTGGGTGTCTGTAGGTAGCAGACAGGAGGCTGTGTTTAGGCTTTCTTGCATTTGCCTTTGGAATGATACACCTTATCTTCAGCATTTGTGATTTAGACCAGACCTCAAATGTTGGATTCAAACTCTTTATTCAGCTGGATTTGGTTAATGTCACTCAAAAGAATGCCAAAGCACAGCAACAGGAGAGATTTGAAATATGTATAAAAAATAAGTGCTAGTCGTCCTCCTGCTGTGATTTTTAACAATGGAAGCACATGAGTAGAAGGGTATGGCTTTGTCTCACTCAGTTCACACTCCATTGCAACTGACTTGATTTAGTCTTTGTTATTGCTAAAGAGGTGTGATGAGTTCCTCTTAAAATGCACATATTTCAGAACTGTAAATTATTTAACATTGTAAGCTGTGAATAAAGGTATGCAAGTAACATATCACCGGCTGTATGAAATACCAATTGCTTATTGACTTCTTTCAAGTCTGAGTTGCATGCTCACTGTTTTTAGTAAAACTTGAGTACCGTACTTATGAATGTAGTGAACAACTTGCATTAATATATATTTTTTTTACAATGAAATGGTGAGATCTTAATTAATGTAAAAATATTTTAATAACTGTTACTAAACTGTTTTCTGTTGCTAAGATTGCCAGAACTTACCTATGTGGCAATAAACTGACTGTAAGCAAATATATCAAAGTTTAACAGACACTTGAGTACATGGCATAGAAGAATGTGAACTGGAAACAAGATTATTTTGCATAGAGAACTTTTTATATGACATATATTTGCATTTGTAATGTGCAGCATTGGAGCTGTGATTTGCTTTCAAAAAGCAATTTAAAGTTTTAACTAGTACTGCTGCTGCTTGATATACTGTGGTGCTCTTTTTTGGAAGAGCATTGTGCTGACTTTGGTTTCTGGTTCATTTTGTTTTCTTTACAGTGCCACATTTATTAGAATGTTTCACAGAAAATGTCACCCTTGCCCAAAATGTTTATAAGCTTAGGACCAGTCTTTATCTTTTAACAGTCTGCCTTTGGCCCAAGCATAAGGAGAACATAATAATAATAATAGTAATAATAATGATTCTGCTGTCACTATGCAGACTGTATATTAATTAAAAACCAGAAATGGGAGTGATTCAACGTTCCTGAACCTGCATGTGCGCTGTGGTTGAATTTTTAGCTATCTAATGCTGACTTAGAAACAGGTTATATGTCTTTCATTTTCCCTTTACCCAGAAGGGAGATTCATCTGTGCAAGCAAATAGTGCTCCAGCTGAAAGACAAGGAGATCAGAGCTTGTCAGACTGTTGTATAGATGTGGCCAGTTAAATCTGGGGTTCAGGATGGCCAAAGGGTACCATGTTAGTTAGAAATTATACACAAGAGAGTAAAAGTTGCTTTTTTTCTTCCATGACCCTCCTTGTCCAAAGTATAATTGTGAGAATACAGGGTTAGATTATTTTCTAAATTTAAATCCTCCTTCATCCTTTTGCTGTGATAAGAGATGATATATCATGAAATTGTGGAGGAATGCCTAAAAAATGTTCCTTAGTTTGTACTAAGTGACTTTGAAGGCGTCTTAAACATACATGCTTCATTTGGCTTTGCCTTTGCTTCTCCCAGTGCACCAATACTTCCTAAACTACCTGCTAGTTCTACTATTGTTGGTACTGTGAAAATATGTCTCTTTCAAGCCTTGCAAATAGCAGTCACCACTCACAAGCTGCGAAACCAAATGTATGAAGAAATAAAAAATATATTTGTTGTAGTAATTTCAGAATTGCTAGTCTGCATAGATAAGTATTTTGTTTGGAAATAATGTCTTTGATGGCCTTTTCTTGTGGCCATCACTTCAATAAAAGTCACCTTTACTCAACAGAGTGCCTTTTGTTTTCCCTCAATGCCTGTTCTGAAAAAGTGTTCTGAGAAAATGCTACTCAGATGCAAGGTAAAAAACAAGGACTGTCTAGCATTGTATTGAAGAGATTTTATGGATCTGGTATAATATCCACAGCCTCTACTTTGGAAGGCAACTGCAGCAACGGATTATTCTGGGTGAACAGAAGATAAATCGGTTTTTTATAGGGTTTTATTTTTTAAAAAAATTTTTAAAAATTTAAGTTACTTCAATTGTGTTACTAGATTGTCACCAGCAATCTGACAATATTAGACATGAAGGAGAGGAGGGATGCAGAAGCTGTTAATGGCCTTATAGTAGGATTGCACTTAGTGTGTGTTTGAGTACTAACTACCTTATAAATCAGCATGCGTTTCTAATTGCACTCAACTTTAAAATTGACATAATTATCCCTTCCCTAATAAGCTGTGATAATTTTTCTTTATCTACATGATTGTCCTAGTGCAAAGATTACATGCTCAGTGGATGAAGAGGAGATTGATTTGATTTAAGCAGGAGTTTGGTATGTTTATTATCTTGCCAACTATTTTTCTTAGACCATTCTTATTACACAAATACATGGTCAGAGAGGGGGTCATAAGCCGTGAAAAGAAGACATAATAAATGGATATAAGGGTCAAAAAAGAGACACTTCCAGTCAACTTCCAACAGCTTTCATGTATATATGCTATGGGGAAGGGAAATAATAATCTGACTACTTTTTAAATGTATTTGATTAAAATTTATCATATGGTTGTGAAAGGCTGAGAAGATGCATGTTAGATCCAAGAGCTTCCCGTCTTTCCTTCCTGTCCTGTGTTTCTCAGGCTCATTCTAAGGATTCAGACTGGATTGAATAGTGAAGACTGAGAATAGTAAATGAGTATGGAAATTAATATCAGTTACTGCTCCAACAAATCAGCATGCCTTGGCATTGGCAAATATTTTTTTTTTATTCTTTGCTGTCAGTTAAATACTTAAAGAATCCAAGGTAGATGTAATCAGTGTCAAAAACAGTGTGCTCTTTTGGGTATGGGTGCAGTCCCTGTCCTCCCACAGCAGGCTATGAAAGTGTTTTAAATTGATAGACATTGGATAGCAGCTGTGTACGAGCATAGGATTTAAGTGGGGTTTATTGTTTCATTGCCTGAAAATCGAAGCTTGTTCTGAGAACACTCAGGCTGTTTCCGGAGGGGAGGTATGTATTAGCTCTTGGCTCTCTTTCCTTTTGCAGCATGCAGAGCATCTCAAAATTAAAAAGCATAGAAACCATTACAGAGCTCCAGAAAAAGGCTTTTACCCAAATACAGTTTTACTGTTATTACTCCCCTTTGTGGAGTTAAGTTGCTGACGCTCAGCATTACTCTTGCCAGGGGAGAAGGCCAGTTGTCTCATTTTGGCTTTAGCATCCATATATTTATACAGAGTAGTTAATGTTCCTCTCACGTCTAGTCACAACATTGACTTAAACCTGCAGCTATAGCAGTCCAGGTGAAGCTGCCCACCTTTGCAAGGGGACAGGTTTGGGGTCCCTCTGCTCCAGAGGCAGAGGGCTACAGCCTCTGGAACAGGGGGGAGAAAAGCAGATGATGATAAAAACCTGAAACATCTCCTGTTGTTGATGTGGCATCTCTGTGTCCCTGCCCTGACTCCTTTCTATTCAAAACTGGTTAAACCAGTTGTTTGCAGTGGTGGGGGATAGTGGATGTGTTGCAGGAAGAGGATTTTCAGGAAACTCAGAAAAGCTAAGCTCAGGTTTTGTAACATTCTGGAAAAGATGGGAAATGACAAAAAGCTTGAAATAAAAAGCTTTTACTAAAAATTTTAGAGTAATACCATGATCTCCAGGAGTAATTATTTCTTTAAGTACCTGTTCTGTGGTGCTGCTGTAAGTTTTTTCTTTAGCCTTTACTGTGTCTGTACAAATATTGATCTTGTCATGAGCAGAAATTTATACTGCTAAATATGGAATTTTATTGATCAATTTTTCAGAGGTTTGAGATATAACTTTCATTGTTCAATCCTTGGTTTTGCACAGTCTCCTTCCCTCTTCCAAGAAAAAATGATGCTGAATATACTAAGTGTGTCTAAAATGCATGAAGCAGAAATCTGACTCTTTTTATATGGATGTCAGAATGATCACTAAAATAAGTCTTCTAGTACTCTGAGCAAACTAAGTATTGTTTTTAATAACAGCAATGTTTTTTAGAGATATCAAATAGTGGTCAAAACTTATTTACTCAATTGATAGTGAACTTAATAATGTTGAGCAAAAATATGAAGCCTAAATAGTTTTTCACCTGTTAATTCATTAACAGCTTTGCTAAGAATGTTTAGCTGGACACCTTGTGTTTGAAAGTTATTCCTACTTATGCGGTCTAAGTTTCCTTCACTGTTGCTTTAACTTCATAGCTTTGCAGGTGTGACATGAACACTGGCAGTTAATTTCAATCCATTGATTCTATTAAGGTAAACAAGCATGGAACTACTCTGCTAACAGGCTCTCAGAGGCAGAGTAGGCTTAGATTGTATATTAGAAGTAAATTTTTTACTGTGAGGGTGGTGAGGCCCTGGAACTGTTGCTCAGAGGAGCTGTGGATGCCCCATCCCTTGAAGTATTCAAAGCCAGGTTGGATGGGGCTCTGAGCAACTTGGTCTAGTGCAAAACATCCCTGCCCATGGTGGGGGGGTTGGAACTATGTGTTCTTTAAGGTTCCTTATAACCCAAGCCATTCTATGAATCTACCATCTGCAGCTGCATGAAGTTCTGGAAGAAAACAAAAGCTAGAGCAAGTACCACAGTTAGAAGCTACTTACTCATGTCTCTTCATACCACTCAGGCAAAACCATAAAATACTTTCCCATTTCCAGAAAAAGAACTTGTTGTAAAGATGCTGATATTTGTGATTAGAGACAGGAAGTCAAATTCTTTGACCAAGCAGCTGCCTTCTCATCTGTCCCCAATAACCCTTCCTTTCTCACTTCTTCCCCAGGCCTACAATAAGGGCCTTGTTCAATATCAGCAAAACCGATCATGCATTTAGCTCTGAATAGGTAAAGGCTCTGTGCTGTCTCTTAAGAGTGACAGAAACATTTAGGTTGGAGAAGACCTTGAAGATAAAAGAGTCCAACTATTAACTTGGCATGGCTGAGGTGCCAGTGCCAGCTGCAGTACAAGAAGTTTGGTATTTCAACAGTGATGGAAAATGTAAAGTGGTCTGGAAACAGAGCACCAAAAGAATATGCCTACTTAAAACTGCATTGTACTCTGGTCTGAAAGGGAGAGATGAGAGTGAAAAACAACCAACAAAAGAAGTCTGCATTAATTTTGTGATGAATATGCTGGTCTGGAGAAATGGAGTCCAAATTCCCTGCTTTGCCACATGCTTCCTTTGTAAATTTAATTTCAGCGTCTCTGTCTCTATTTCCTGGCTTGCCTGCTGGGGATAATGGCACTTCTCTACCTGATGCCAAGTACATTAGCAGCAGAATGTTAAACTTTTTGATGGGTTTGTAAGCAGAAATAAGTAGGCAGATTACCATATTTTCTTTAAACTGCATAGGAAGAAAATTGTCATGGCCTGCATTATACTGGAATGGAAGGAATTAGCTCCTTTTGAGTCTGTGGTGTGTGTTTTGTGAATCCTATTAAATTACTTGCCTAAGTATTCTGGACTGAATTTTACAAGTTAATTAGAATGCCAGCATGCTGTAATACTATGTAATGGACAATTAATATCAATTAAGAATTGTTATTTCTGTTGTAAAGCAAGACAAAACAAAAATTGAAATCAGACCCCAAAGCACAAACTTGCTGCATAGTGCACAAAGCCTGGGGAGGCAAACTGGGAAACTGAATTCCTGGCTTTTCTTGGTACTAGCAGCGTTTTCAAAAGCTGCTAGTACTTAGTGTTTGGCCTTTGTACATGTTTGGGGAAGGCTCTTTCACTCTCTATGAGAATGCCTTTGCTACTTTGAGATTCTACTGCTAGCAGACTAGACTTCAGGGATTTCATCTGTAAAAGCCCTGGAAAACTGTACATGGTGCAATTCACTTGCTGTTAAATCTATTAATGTGCTCTCCAAAGGAAGCACCACAACGGCTGCACGTGTTGGCTGGCAGTGCCTGTTAATTATTTCCAGAATCTACTGTTTTGAACTTTGCAGCCCTGGTAGTTGCACACCTGCCCAGCCACCTCCCTGCCATTTCAGGCTGTGCTGGTCAGAGGTGCTGCTCTTTAGCAGCCAGGGACAACTGCCTCGTACAGCCCCCCAGGAGGATCAGTAGTGAGAGAGACCCTGAAATCCTTGAAGACAAGCTGAAGTTAATTAAAGGCATTCATGAAGCTGCCTACAAATAATGGCAGACTGCCCAAAGCAGACTAGAAAGAAACCAAAAGGGTTGTATTACCTCTTCAGCTGGCACAGAATGTGTACTTTCTTATTTAGATGATATAAGGAAGCTTTGCTGACAGACTCATTAAAATGGGTGGCTGTTTTGGGGTTGGGTTTGGTTGTTATGTGTTGTTTTGGTTTTTTTTAATTGAGGGGGGTTGTGATTGGGTTTTCAGCATAATCACACCATTGTTGAGGCTGGCAGGCACCTCTGGAGGTCACTTGTCCAACCTCTCTTTTCAAGCATGGCTACCTACTGCCAGATTCCTAGGACCACGTCCAGACAGCTATGGAGTACCTTCAAGGGTGGAGACTCCACAGACAACCTCTGCCAATGTTCAGCCACTCTCACAGTGAAAATTTCCCTGATATTCAGTGGGAACCTCCTGTATTTCAGTTTGTTTCCCCTACTTCTATTCCTGTCACTGGACTCCACTGAAAAAAGACTGGCTCTGTCCTTCTTGCACCCTCTGTTTTCAGATATTTTTAAAAGGCAAGATGTCTCTGAGCCTTCTCTTCTCCAGGCTGAGCAGACCCAGCTCTCTGTCTCTCCTCTTAAGAAGAGTGCTCTAGTATCTAACTAA